GAATCTAAAATAAAGGAAAAGTCAAAAAGTAGCCAATAAAATTTTCTATTTGTCCTAGCTATACGAGTTATAATATTAACCACACACTTATGACATCTGTTGTATATAGCTTTTATAATAATATTGATACAACAAATACTCCTATAAGAGAGGAGTAGGATAAATACAAATACATTGATCTAAACAAGTCGTTATTATCTAATACCCCCGCCCCCAAGCGAATAGGTGGTGTAACAAGACGTAGAATAGCTTGAAATTTCTCAAATAGAGGATGCAGGGGACTCTTAGTGAATATGTTTGTTACCTGGAGCTTGGTAGAAACATACGTGGTGTGGAGTTTATCAGAAGCAAAAAAGTTCTCTAACGAAGTGGTAATCGAGATCAATATGTTTTGCACATTTATGAGAAATGGTATTTTTTAGATTAGGTGTCTAACTCCATAACTATAATTGGTGTGTACTTGATTTAATAGTAGCATGGTCCTTTTGGGTTGCCTTTACTCTTGCAACTTGACAGGATGACTTTTGGAGAGAGAGGTTGATAAATGATTTATTAATATATTATAGGAATAATATATTAATTAGAAATCATGTTATTTAATTAGTATGTAACCATAAATTCATTTGGAATTGATTTGGGATTAAAGGAACTGATTAAAGGAATAGTGGTTGTTTTGCAAATCACTGATAGTTGTGAAATTGGACTATTGGACTCCTTAGATAGGATTGGAAGAAACTTATAGGGAGGCCCTATAAGTTTTCATCCAAGGCCTCTTGATGAGGGGTCCATGGGCTGCTTAAATATTAAGCAGGAAATTAGGGTTTCCTCCAAAAAACCCTAGTAGCCCTCGGCTATATAAAAACCCCACCTCTTAGCATTTTCGGCTTATGCTTTGTTCCTTCAAACACTAGCCAAATTTCTAATTTCATTCCCTCCTCTCTCTCTCTCTCTCTCTCTCTCCTTGTAAGCCATTAGAGGTGTCACATTTTAGGCACTAAGCTTTTAAGAGTCAAGATCAACAAGGTGCTCTTGTTAATACAAAATAACAAGTAAGGTAAAGTTTTAAACCCTATGAATTTCAATATATATATATATATACAAGATCCAAGGTTTTTTGCTTTGGTATTCAATTTCCATGTTCAACTACTGAAAAACTCAAATGCAAAGCAATTAGAGTGGCATCATCACATAGGTTGTAGTTGTACTCAAAACCCATTAGTTGTATTAGAGCGTACGATGTTTTTCAGTTGAATTTGATGCAATAGTGAATTGTCCAAAGGAGAAGGGAGCAGATTCGTCAATCTGCTCAATAAACTCGACGAGTTCATAAAGGAACTCGACAAGTTCACTACCAGACTCGACGTGTTAACTCGTCAGATGCCTGATTTTTTGATTTTGATATCTAGATTTGATTAGGATAATTACTTTAATTCGTTTTAACTGCTTATCTGAAAAGGTAAATGTATATCATTATCAAAATAAATGATTTGGCCAAATTTTAAGATAAAGACAAAAATAATTTATTAATTTAATTATATAAAATTTGATTAAATAGTTTAATTTTGAAATCTTAAATTTTAGAACCCAAGTATTTTAAAAGTTTAAAATACACATTTATACTATTTTAAAATTAAAAGTTTAATTTGTATGTATGTATGTATGTATTTATATATATATATATATATATATATATATATATATATATATATATATATATATATATATATATGTATGTATGTACGTATGTATGTATGTATGTATAATATATATATATATATAAGAAAATGTCGGTCTTACTGTTAGTAGGTCTCATTCACGAAGTCGATCTATAAAGGGGGGGGGGGGGGGATAAGGAAACTGCCTATAAAATGGTAGTTGAATGGATGTCCAGTCTCACCCACCACTTTCTTGATTTGTGGAGGGTCGTTAGCCGAACGGGTAGGATATTACATTAATAAGAATTTCTCATTTTTACCAAGGGACTCGACGAGTTGGATACCCCAAACTCATCGAGTAGGAATGGAGTTTTTGAACGCGGGACTTGAAGTCTAATCGATGAGTTGAGAGCCTCATCTCGACGAGTAGAGTTGCCAAAGTGAAACCCTACTTTTCCGGGTTTGCACCCTATTTAAGCACCTTAACCTCCAAAGGGTGGCATCATTTGCAGCCTCCATCACCCCGAACCCTAGCCTCAAAACCTATATGTTTTTTAGAGTTTTTAAGCCATTCTTGGTGCTTTTTAAGGTTTTGAAGAAGAAGAAACTTGAGGAAGGAGCAAGGAAGTGAAGGAGAAGAGTAGATCCATAAGTATAGCTTCATTTCTGGTTCACCTAAGGTTAAAAGCTCTTACCTTGCTTATTGAGTGTTTAGATCTAGTTTTAGGGTTTTTTCTCCATGTTTTGGTTCACTAATGGTGGCCTTTGCGATTTGGATGTCCCATGGGAAAGAAACTTCAGATCTAAAGTCTTTGAGGTACTCCATGGTATAAAGGTGCCAACTTTATGGCCATGGGAGTCCTATGCAACTTGTAAGCCAATTTTTTTAGTCTTTTGAGCAAAATAACCCATGCATGGACGTAAAGTTAGTAACTTTACGTGATATATGAAACCTAGGGGACCAGATTTATGGGTTGGATGCATTGAGCCCAACAGAAAGTGACTTAATGGATATTAGACTAACGGGAACTTGACGAGTTTTTCATGCAACTCGACAAGTTGGATCGTAGCCACAACCTTTTTCTGGTTACTAAGCAAAGTCAATGAGTCTAGGAGATGACTCGGTGAGTTGGCTAAGTTTTCATGGTTTTGAAGATTCGAGAACTCGACAAGTTCAAGGAAGAACTCGACGAGTTGAAGAGAAAAGTCCTGATTCGGTCATAAGGAAGAACTCGACGAGTTCGTGAAAGAACTCGACGAGTTGGATCGATATTTCCATGGTTTCATGGATCATGGAACTCGACGATTTAGTGGACCAACTCGGCGAGTTGAGTCAACCAGGTTGTTGGCTTTGACTAGGATGTTGACTTTGACCAGGAAGTTGACTTTGACTTTAACCATTGACCAGAGTTGACCCTTAGAGGGGTTATGAGTATGAAATGGGTAATTAAAGGAGATTTTATGTGTAGGAGTTTGAGAGGAGTTGATCCTAAAGCCGAGGACAGTTCAGCTGCTACACGACATTGGGGTGAGTTACCTTCCAGTAGAAGTGGGTCGAAGGCACTGATGCCGGCCCACTAGTAAGAGTATAGTAGAGATGATTGTCTTTGTGATAATTATCTGTTATGCTTTATGTGCTAGTATTCTATGATATTATGTGGAAGTGGTAGGGAGGGGACTAGTCCCCGGATCCGGTTGAGATAAACCGGCAGGGTAGGTCGGGCACCCAGATATGCCTGACAATAATGTTATGCTATGTTATTGTGTGGTAGTGTTAGGGGTGAAATAGTCCCCGTAGTCGGTTGAAATAAACCACATGGTAGGTCGGGCATCCAGATATGCCTGGCAGAGTAGGTCGAGAACCCAGATATGCTTGAAAGGGGTAGGTCGGGCACCCTGGTATGCCTGACAAGGGTAGGTTGAGCACCCATATATGATCAGCAGGGTAGGTCGGGAACCCAGATATGCCTGACAGTATGTTTATTGTATGGTATGTGGTATGATGGGGGAACTCACTAAGCTTTGTGCTTACAATTTTCAATTTTAGTTCCAGGTACTTCCTCTTCGAAGGGAAAGGAGTCGGCATGATTGCAACACATCACACCACATTTTCCGCAACAAAGATCTATGGGATTTATACTCTGATATGATTTTATCAGTGTTTCAAAACTCACCGAGTTGGCCGATTACTCCTTCGAGTACTCGCTACTCGGCCCCTTGCCGAGGCGAGTTACAGAATCCCGAGTACTCCCCGATCGGCCCCTTACTGAACTGAGCAATGTTGTAAAACTAGGTCAACTCGGTGATTAATATGTATAATATACTTAATGATTTATTATTATTGAACATACACACATGTGATTATTACTACATATATATCTTAAATTTTAGTAATTATTCACGAAGTGAGACCATTATTTGTTTTTTTAGTTTTTGTGTATTCACATGTATCTAATTTTGTTATATATTTCTATCAACTTATGATTTTAACTTATTATTTTGACATATATAATTTCCCTAAAAATATTACTACATGAATTACCAAATCCGAGTACTCCCCGAGTACTCCTGAGTACTCCCGAGTACTCGCTACTCGGTAGTCGGCCGAGCAGGTACCGAGTAACGAGTTCTATAACCTTGGATTTTATTATGAAATGTTTTGGCTATGGATACATTGTGTTTGATATGTATTATTACTATAAGGTTTTCAGACAAATGGTTTTATATTTATTTAATTTAAAATGAAATTTTTTGTCTTGAATTTTGGGATGTTACACAGTGTTGACTAAGATAGAAATAATGGAAAGAGAGAAAAGAGATAAAGAACTTGATGAGCTCAATGCCTTAAGGGATAAGTTGGATGTTGAATAGGCCGAAGCCAAGAATTCTGAAATGATTCTTGAAAACAAGAAAGCTTTGTTTCCAACTTGGACTTTTGAGTGTATGCAAAAGGAAGCTATCAATGAGTTGAATACCTTTTGGTTGGAAGCAAAAACATCGTTTGACATCAACAACAATGTGGAGTGTCAGTTAGACTTCCCTATCACTCGAAGAGCTTTTCTCTTCCGATGCTTTAAGAAGATAGAGAAATCTTTGATCTCCAACAATGCAACAACCGAAAGCTCTTCTCATTTGACATGAAATATAAGAAACCTCAATATGATTCATGGTTTTTGAAAAGAATTATGGGTCTGAAGGTTAGACTACCTGTTCAAACAAAAGACTTTCTGAACATACAATTCAAAGGATTTCGGGGTCACAGTCATATTCTTCATGAGTTCACATTGGCTGATCTACCTTTTATGAACCGATATAATTGGATTTCGTTATCCCACTGTGAAGGATATGAAGAAATACGAACCCATCTTTGAGCATTTGAATAGGATGATTAAATGTTATATCTTGGAGCTTGCCAAGATGGATGTAGAAATTGCTTCAATTTTGAAAAGAAAACTCATATTGAAGCCTTTTGATCAACCCCAAAACATTGAAAATATAAGGGGAGGATTGATTGACAAAGAATATTGGAGCATTGTTTACAAGAAGGAAGGTGAAGAGATTAAGAACTGCATGTTCTTTCTGAGGGATAAGCACTTATACCCTACAAGTGCTCTGAACTCAATCTTGTCTAGGGCCAAAGCGAATAAGACTAATTGTGTTGTTGATCTGAAGTGTGTTTTCGATATGATACGTTGGTATCTTTCTGTCATGGCATCCATTCTGAAGATTTTATGCCAAAGATTTTTGGAGATCAGAAGCAATAAAGACTACTTCATTCCGATTTAACACAAATGAGGAGATTTTTAAGTCATCATTCATGTTGTGTCAAAGTGGTAGTTTTCGGAATTTAGCTTAGTTCTGATTCCGTAATGGGCATGTCTGTTTTCGGAATCGTTAGTCTTTTTGCGTCTATAAATAGTGTGATGTATTTGTCTTTTTCAAGCGACGATGTGCTAGCTTTGAAAGAATAGTTCTAAACTTGTAAACGAATTATTCTAATGCTACGTGAATGAAGCTCAATCTATTTTCAATCATTATCGTTCCAAACCAATCAATCATCTTACAATATAGAATCTATCGATCGTATCTTATATTAATTTACAACACCACAATATGTCTATGCTTCACTACGCATCATCACTTTCTAATACCATAGAAGAGTTATAAGATTAACAACATGCTTATGATGTATGTTGTGTATATTTTTTATAATAATATCGATACAACAAATACACTTATAATAGAAGAGTAGGATAAATACAAATAAATTGATCTAAACAAGTCGTTATTGTCTAATACTAACATGTACTTAAATTTTAATCCTATATTTTTTTTAGCCATCGCACTACTCTCTCATCCTTATTTATTCACATTCCAAGGAGAATCATGGAACAATAAGATTTAGATTTTGGTCATTACTCTCTTGGCCTTATTTATTTACATACCAAGGAGAATCATGGAACAATAAGATTTAGATTTTGGTCATGGTTGATTCTCTTTCTAGTGCACTTTTTATTCCACAAACAATTTTAGCACAACAAAACATGATAAATTAAAGAAGACAATTTGTTTATAAAACTTAGAGTGTAAAATCGAATAACAAAACAACATAAGAAAGAGAAAAACCAAATGACCAAAATTCATCTACATTGTAGTTTTTGTAACCACAAGTGGAGAGGCTTCATCTACATGTAGTTTTTGTAACTACATGGTAATTTTTGTAACCATTTCACATTATTGGACCAAGAAAATCTCAAGAGAAAAGAATTGTGACCCATGTACCAAAATAAATCGTTGAGCATTTATATATTGGAATAAAATAATTGGTAGATTTAAATAGCTTTTTAAAAAATTCTATAGACAAATTATTTTATTATCATAATAGAATTAAATTAGAAAGGTAAGCATCTCCATTGAGGGATTGCAAAGCAAAGCATGTTGGTTTGGTGCATAATGTGGGCAAGGGATAGATTCTCTTTAAGCAAAAGTTACTTACCCACGTCACGCCAATTTTTTTTTTCTTTATGATTCGTAGTTTTATATTTTCTCTACATATGTTTTTAAATTTTCTATATATTAAAATTTTTTTCTTTATGATTGGTAGTTTTATATTTTCTCTACATATGTTTTTAAATTTTTTTTATATGTTTTTAGGTTATTGAGACACTTTAGTTCTTTTATAATATTATTTGTAACTTACTAAGACGTTACGATACACTTTAGAAAAGAGGGGCGGATTTAGGGGGTTCCGGGTGGCACCGGCAACCCCTAACTTTTCCGGTCGTAGTGGAAAAAATTTCGAAATTTTTTAAAATTTTTATTTTTTCTACTATCGTACAACCCCTAACTTTCCCGTGCAACCCCTATTATGAAATTCTGCGTCCGCCCTCTTAGAAAAATACTTTGAATATATATATATATATATATATATATATATATATATATATATATATATATATATATATATATATATATATATATATATATATATATATATATATATATATATATATATATAAACAAATGATTAATGATTTATGCAACAAATGATTAATGATTTAAATTGTTTATAATTTATTTGATAAACGAATCGAGCAATCTTATTTCATCTTTAAGAGTAAAATATGTAACATTTTACATGTACATGCACAACTTGTCCGTAAGGAGGCAAACCTCGAATACCGTCCAGGGCCCAACCGATTTGGGGTCCCAAATTAATGTCAATCATTTACGAGGAGTTCATCAGCTTCATAAAATTATCGAAGCATAAAAAAACTGATTCATTGATGGCGATGATTTCTTCAACCTTAAGGGTATAAAAGCTAGTAAGTTTTTGTGATCAAAATCTTAAAAACTCATCTAATGTGGTGAGAGATGTTATTGGAAAGAAGTAAAGTATAAACATTAAATAAATGTTTGGAAAAATAGAATGGGATCTTAGAGCATACGGTGTGGGTTCGGCGTTTCTCGTTATTGCCTACGTGGAGGCTGAAAAATAGAATGGGATCTTTAGGATGATGTATCAGTATTATACTAATGAGCTGCTACAACCAGACTCGGCCCCGCTACTAACAAGACGTGCGATATTAAACAGAAATCGTGAGGAAGGACACGAGTATCTATATCGCGATTACTTTGCGGATAATTGTGTATACGGGTCGAAAGACTTCAAAAGAAGATTCCATTTGAGTAGGAATGTGTTCCTACGGATCGCCAACGCCTTGGAAAGCCGGTATCGCTTCTTTACTATACTTTTATACCAAAAAAAATCTAGTACATGTTTCTTTAATTTTACAACATATACAACATATTTTTAAACTGTAATTAATATATGTTTAGGTATGAATTTTTCCAATTGAGATATGATGCTAGAGGTAGACGAGGGTTTACAACATTGCAGAAATGTGTTGTGGCCATTCGTTTGATGGCTATGAGGGAGTCACCCGACACCATGGACGACTATATGAGAATGTCTGAAAGAACCGCAAGGGAGAGTTTGTATACATTGTCAAGGGATCTTGTTGAAACATTTGGAGACGTGTATTTGCGGAAACCTTCGTTGCATGATTTGCAAGAATTATATGCGACGCATGAAAGACGCCATAGGTTTACCGGAATGATCGGAAGCATTGATTGCACACACTGGAAATGGAAAAATTGTCTGGTAGCATGGAAAGGGCAATATGCAAGTGGTCATCACGGATCACCTTCGTTGGTTTTAGAGGTTGTTGCTTCTCAAGATTTATGAATTTGGCATGTATTTTTTGGGGTTGCGGATTCCAACAACGACGTCAATGTTCTTGATCAGTCGCCAATATTCGACGATCTTTTAAATGGAAAGGCGTCGGATGTTCCTTTCACGGTGAATTGGAACGAATACAAATATGGATATTACCTTATAGATGGAATATATCCTCAGTATTCTACATTCGTGAAGGCATTCCGCCACCCGGTTGAAGAACGAGACAATTTTTTTAAGAGAAGACAAGAAGAAGCACGTAAAGATGTGGAACATGCTTTTGGAGTGCTGAATGCGAAGTGGCATATAGTTGAACATGCAACACCATTAGATTTAGAAACTCTACGATATATCATGTATGCATGTATCATAATGCATAATATGGTAGTAGAAGATAATTGACGAAATATAGCATATTATATCCTAACGGAGCCCAGATACGTTCAGTTTCAACCAGGAACAGCAGAGCATTTGCATCGAGTTATTGACATTCAGGACGCAAATAAACACAGACAGCTTCGAGGGGACTTGGTGAATTATATCTTCTATAGTAACAATAACGATAACGAATAACGTTGTATTTTATTTTTATTTTTTTGGAATTTAGATGTTATGTGTAGTTTAATTTTTATGTTAATTTTAATCTTTAAAAATTGTTTTTATTGTATGTTATTTATAATTTTTTAAACATTATGTTTTATTTATTATGTTATGTTATATTTAAAAAATACTTGTCTAAATTTAAAAAAATAATAATAAAAGAAAAGCGAAAAAAAATAAAAAGTAAATTATAAAATGAAAAAAAAAGTTGGTGTTATAACAAGATGCAACATGTGATCATTTCCCCCACTTAGTGTTATAACATCATTGGTGATGTAGGATGTAAGTTAACACCAAAATAATGTTATGATTAATTGTCCACACCTTATGTTCTTATGGGTTCCACTTCAATTGCAAATATATATTATTACAATAGAAAATTTAAACCTTATTATTATTTAATTATAATTTTAAGGGCCTCATATTTGTTATTGCTATCGGACTCAAGTCGAGTTAGAAGGTCTTGTGCACATGTGTAACAAATTTTAATATGATTGTATAAATTTATCAAAGTTAAAGTCATAGCGAGTCATGATGTTTTTCAATGCGTGACTATTTTATATAGATTAAAAAATCATATAATTCTTTAATTTTATCAAATATATCAAGTTTTTAGAAGTGTTATGTTAATATTTAATATATAAAAAATAAAAAATAAAAAAAAAGATAACAAAAACTTAATTATTTCAGGTTTGATCAGAAAAAATAAAAAATTCATACCTTGAAAAAAACTCACATCATAACGCGATAAAACGTGCATTGACACATTATTGGAGTGTCACGTTTAACAAATCTGTATTTATGTTTTCGTAACGGCTACACCACGTCTTGTGTCATAACATGTCTTGAGGCGTACCGCTTTTTAGAACCATGAATAAAATAGAAATTGTATACCATTATTCTCTATTTCAATATTTTTATTAGATAATATCATATATTCTTATTTTATTTATTGTATAGATAGAGAAAATTATGCAACCTGGTTGAATGAATAAAACATTTGTCCCATCTTTGAAAAATTATATAAAATTAAAAATAGAAATATTATTAAAAAAATAGAGGTCATAACCGAATAAAACAGCAAATCCCTCGACGGCAGGGCATAATTGCCACTGTTTCACTTTCCAGTCCAAGAACCCCACTGTCTTCTCTCACTTCCACACCCTCTCTGTGAGATCATAACAAGTAGATTCGCATTTCGCCTTCTTCATTTTCGGATATTGGTACTCATCCTTGTGAACCCACGATCCAAACCAAAATTCAAAACTGAATACAGATTAGAAACTTAGAATCGCGAGAATGTACGGGAGAGATCCATGGGGTGGACCATTAGAAATAAACACCACTGACTCAGCGACGGACGATGATGGCAGCAGAAACTTGAACGACTTCGACAGGGCGGCGTTATCGCGGCCGCTGGATGAGACGCAACAGAGCTGGCTGTTAGGTCCCGGAGAAGAGAAGAAAAAGAAGTACGTTGATCTTGGTTGCATCAGTGTCAGCCGTAAGATCTTCGTTTGGACGGTTGGATTGATATTCGCAGCTGGTTTCATTGCTGGGTTTATTGTATTGATCGTTAAAACTGTTCCTCGGCATCACAAACACCCCCCACCTGCAGATAATTACACTGTTGCGCTTCAAAAAGCTCTCATGTTCTTCAATGCCCAAAAATGTTAGTCCACTTTCTAATTTAATCGGATCTATTGATTTCCCGTTTTCTCTTTTCTTATTTTGTTTGATCATTTTTTAACATCTTATGTGTTTCTCTGTACTCTGTATCAATATTCATATGCCAATGGACTCAATGTCATTCACTCAAGCAAAAATCAATGAAAATACGCTGCTAATTTTTGCATCTGATCTGCTAACAAAATGATATCCATGCAGCTGGAAGACTCCCCAAGCACAATAACGTGTCATGGAGGGGTAACTCCTGTCTAAACGATGGAAAATCAGACAAATCAGGGGCAGTGCTAAAAGATCTAGTGGGGGGATATTATGATGCTGGAGATGCTATAAAGTTCCATTTCCCTCAAGCTTTTGCCATGACCATGTTGAGTTGGAGTGTGATCGAATACAGTGCTAAATACGAAGCTGCAGGAGAGCTCAACCATGTTAAAGAGATCATCAAATGGGGCACTGATTACTTTCTCAAAACCTTCAATTCTACAGCTGATACCATAAACCAACTGGTATCTCAGGTAATTACTCATTTCCCTGACTTTCTGTATTAAGTCATTCTTTCTGTATTAAGTCAAAAAGAAACAGGTGGGGACTGGTGATACGTCTGGTGGGACAAATGATCCGAATGATCATACTTGCTGGATGCGACCCGAGGACATTGATTACCCTCGCCCAGTGACCGAATGCTCTAGTTGCTCTGATCTTGCTGCTGAGATGGCTGCTGCTTTAGCTTCAGCTTCCATTGTTTTCAAGGACAATAAGGTGTATTCAAAGAAACTGGTGCATGGAGCTGCAACTCTTTGGAAGTTTGCTAGGGATCAGAGGGGTATGTACAGTGGTGGTGGTGCAGATGCTGCAAACTTTTATAATTCGAGTATGTATTGGGATGAGTTTGTGTGGGGAGGAGCGTGGATGTATTATGCAACGGGTAATCAGTCTTATCTTTACCTTTCCACTCACCCTACACTCGCTAAGCATGCTGGTGCTTTCTGGGGTGGTCCCGATTATGGTGTTCTTAGCTGGGATAACAAACTCACTGGAGCTCAAGTAAGTTAATCAACTAACTCTACTTATTTTTTTTATGACCATATTATGATGTTAATAATGTTATTCTTTTGTACTAGGTGTTACTGACTAGATTGAGATTGTTTCTGAGCCCTGGTTATCCCTATGAAGAAACATTGAAGACTTTTCACAACCAGACAAGCATAATCATGTGTTCATATCTTCCGTACTTCAGTAGTTTTAACAGAACAAGAGGTAAAAAAAAAAAAAAAAAAAAAAAAAAAACTTCCCCTTTTTGGGCGAATGCGTATTTATTATAACTGATTGGGCCAGCCACCTAATGGGCCACTGTGTGGGCCAGCTATGGATTGATAAAAGAATAATTTTTTTGGAGAAATAATACGGACTCCGTCTTCAATTGCAGGAGGGTTGATCCAATTAAACCATGGGAGACCGCAGCCTCTTCAGTATGTTGTGAATGCAGCCTTTCTAGCGACACTCTATAGCGACTACCTTGATGCAGCCGATACTCCCGGGTGGTATTGTGGGCCAAATTTCTACTCAACCAACGACCTACGTAAATTTGCAGAAACTCAGGTAGAATCCAGCTCTCCTCTCTTCTTCATGCCAACTATGGATGGCATTTTTGTAAATTTTATAACGTGTTCTAGTTTTTATCTTGTAGATTGATTATATACTTGGGAAGAATCCAAGAAAGATGAGTTATGTTGTGGGATTTGGAAATCACTACCCGAAGCATGTGCACCACAGAGGTGCGTCAATCCCAAAGAATAAGGTGAAGTATAACTGTAAGGGAGGGTATAAATGGAGGGACTCTAAAAAACCGAATCCACATACGATCATAGGGGCAATGGTTGCAGGGCCAGATAAATATGATGGTTTCCATGATGTGCGTACAAACTACAATTTCACAGAGCCGACTATTGCTGGAAATGCTGGTTTAGTGGCGGCTCTCGTGGCCCTTTCCGGTGAAAGAACAACTAAGATTGATAAAAACACCATTTTTTCGGCGGTGCCACCTATGTTTCCGACTCCACCACCGCCACCGTCTCCCTGGAAACCTTGAGATTTTGCATCGGTTGTATGGTTTTTTGCGAATGATATCATACATGAACAATTATTACTTTAACAGTTATAAAGGAGTCATAGTGATATGAGATGGAAATTCATTTGTTAATCGATATATATAGGAAGATATAGCATATAGTTTCATGCCAAAGTACAAGAAGAAATAACAATCCATATCACATGATGTATTTTAAGACGAAGAAATCATGATATCAAAAATGCAGCTAAAGCTTCTGCTACCTACTAAAGCTATCTAAAGACCTTACATTCTTTTCTTTTTTTTTCCATTTCATTTCTATTCAACTATTTGTCTGAAGAAGCCTGGCAGGTGGCAGCCTCCAAAACAAACCTATGAACGTGTAGGCTCTAAATAGGAAGACTAGTAGTCTCTCTTCTTGGGACATTCTGATGCCCTGTGCCCAGATTGTCCACAGTTGAAACATGCTCCATCAAAGTTCCTACTATTTCAAAAAAAAAAAAAATTATTATTTATTATTAGTATTTCATGAAGTATGTATGGTTTTATATGCTTCTAAAAATCCAATTTGAATAACATAAAAGCACCCGTTTATATCAAAATGCACTTTTAGTACCTGTCCCTAGTCCGAGAACCACTTCTTGCCCCAAAAGATGAAGGGCTTGAAGATCGTCTTTCACCGATTAGCCAATCACTTCCACCACCACCTCCACCGGTTCTTGATCCGCCTCCGCCTCTAGACCAACTACTGCCACCACCACTCCTGCCGCCTCGTCTGTAGCTATCCCCTTCACCATCTGATGAGTATCGACTGCTACCACCCCAACCACCACGAGAACCACCAGCGCCGCCCCTTCGTGAACCTCCTCCTCCTCGTGAGCTTCTCTCTCTGTTAGAAAATCTACCATAAAAGTCACCTGCTGGACCATCATCTTGTAATACAGGCAACTGCAACAAGTACACAAATACCATTCAGTAACGGAATAAAACTCTAGAATTCTATATCTACAAAACCACACTTGACTTCACCTTTGTAATTTTTGTAATCGTATTGCCAGGTGGCACGTCCTTAGTTAGTAGCTCTTTAGCAATCTCTTCTGGAAGATCAAAAACTGCACCCTGGACCTATATAACACAAATAGATGTTATAAAATAAGGTTAGCTTTCTAGAACCATTACCAATGAGGAGCGCATCTATGTCTTTTCCACAGGAAACAAAAAGTTGCAATTTTTGTCCTATTGACATCAGCTATAAATTGAATACACACCCTTTCATCTGCAATTATATGAATTTTTCCCAGTTCATCAGCAGCAGTTGAATAAACATCAGCCAAGAATCCAGTAACTGTTCTAGCTGACATAAACCCTCTCGATAAAGCAGGATCACGCGTCAGTTGCAATGTAGTCCATCCCTGCAACACAATCAAAATGAAGATAAAGATATACAGATATAGAATTATAGATACAGATACCCTTGTAATAAAGAATTTAGAAATGTTAATCTAATTCACCTGTTCATGAGTGATAAGAGAACGGGATGATGGAGGCTTTGAAAAGCCACTCAGCTGTGCAAGGGCAGCAGCAAGAGCACTTGCACCCTGCTCCTCAATTAGCTTTTCAGCAGTTGGAGTGAAAAACTCAATAGACTCCCGATGAACACCAGCCAGAGTGGCAACAACTTGCTCAGCAGAAGACTCCAATACATCTTCGACAGCTGGCGGACTTACAAACTCAAAATGGCATCCCACATCACGCTCAAGAGACTTCACTGTTCTCCTCTGACTATTTGTGAACATCAAAATGGCATTTCCTACCTTCCCTGCACGCCCTGTTCTACCAGAACGATGCACAAATGTCTCTGGATCATTTGGTAGTTCATAGTGAATAACCTAAAAAAGAAAACAAAAATATCAGTAATGTCATGTACTATGTAACAAATGGGGCTTAAAGAAACATTAGTAGAAAACCCAATCCAATAGTTGGAACTTACTAAATCAACATTGGGAATATCAAGCCCACGAGAAGCAACATCAGTAGCAACAAGCACAGTAAACTTTCCCTGTCTGAAATTATTAAGTGTTCTTTCTCTTTGATGTTGAGATATGTCACCATGTAATGCCTCTGAAGTTATACTATTAGTTAGTGCCAATGACACCTCATCTGCATCCCTTTTTGTCTGAGTGAAGACAATGGTCTTCCCACCTTTCGCGTATACCTAACATAACATCATCACGACATACAATTGTAAGAGTTTGGTTCACTAAACAATTCAATCTTTGATTTAAACAAGATCCAATAAGTCTCATACCGTTACAAGATCACCAAGTATTGTCCGCTTTGAAGTTGATGTTGTTGGAATAGCATACAGCTTGATACCCTCTGCTAGCTTTTCATCTTGATCACCAACCTTTTAGGATCAACCAGAAACATGACACATTACAAGACTAGCCAATAAGCAATAATATATTTAGTTATATACCAAACTTACCAAATCAATTGTCATGGGATTGTTGAGATATTTCCTTGAGAGTTTCTTCACCCAACCAGGCATAGTTGCTGAAAAAAGCATGCTTTGCCTCTGTGATGGAAGTTTTTCCAAGATATGTTCTACATCTTCCTCAAAACCAACAGCAAGCATTTGATCAGCTTCATCAAGAACCAGAAACTGAACCTCCCCCAATTTTAGGGTGTTACTGTCAATAAGATCAATAAGTCTTCCTGGTGTTCCAACCACCACATCAACTCCACGAGACAATGCATTTTGCTGTGAATTATATGAGACACCACCATAGACACAAACAGTGCTCAAATATGGAGCAGATTCTTTGATCTCTGATTCCACTTGCCTTGCCAATTCCCTGGTAGGTGCAAGGACCAAGACTCTGGGAAGACGTTGACCACGCCTTTACATAAAAGATATAAGAAACCAGTTAGATACAACATATTATTTGAATTACCAAGTACTAAATGTTATATAATCAAGAGTTTTCATGGATACCTAGGAGAAATCCTTTCTTCATCGTCTTCTGTGAGTCTTTTGATTATTGGAATTCCAAATGCTAATGTCTTCCCTGTTCCAGTTTTGGCACGAGCAATGATATCTCTACCTTCTAGTGCAGGGACCAATACAGCTCTCTACATAATTCAAACAAATACAAGTTACGAACTTGCTTACAGAAAAAGTGATATGAAACCAATTAACCAAGTACAAGCACCAAAGAGAAATTACACTGAAACGTATAGAGATAAGCACTAGAGAGAGAGTGCGATGGATGTGACTTTTGGATAAACATGTTTAGAAGTGGAGAAATGGATAACGTACTTGGATAGGGAACAGCCTAGTAATTTCTCGTTTTTCAAGAGACTGAACCAGCCTTTGGGGCAAACCCAATTTGGTAATTGAAAGTTCATCATCATCAGCAACATTTCCAGCATCAACTATTGATGCTTCACTTTCAGACTCATCACTATACTCTCTGTCGCTATCGTCCAAAGAGCTATCTTCATCGAACACACCAAAACCCTTAAACGCGTTCTCGCTCAAAACAGAATTGGGGGCGGCAGTCGCCGACGTAACAAAAGCAGAACCGCCACCGACACCAGCGCTGTTAGGTTTGAGTCTAGAGGTAACTTTCAAGGAAGTGAAGTGGGTTTTATCGGCAGAACGAGGAAGGTGCACGGGAGCGGCAGGGGCGGCGATTTTCCTGGAGAGTTGTTCTAGTGATGGGTTTTTGTGGTATACGGATACGCCTATGATGGAAGAAGAACACGCCATGAGTTTGATGATAGTGAAGGAACCGAGTGAGGAAGAAGGGGAAGAAGATGGGGGGATAAGGTGAGAGGTTTATGGAGATGAATGGTCCTAGAGACCACCTTGTTGGCTATAACTAAAACCTCAACTCCTTTTATACCTTAAAATTTTTGTTTCTTTATTTCTCCCCGATATTTTCCTTGATAAAATTTCACAAGGTTTAGTAAAGGGTTTATTCGTATAGTGATACAAGACCAAAAAATATAAGAGAATGCCCATGAAAGCCGTGAAGTTCATATCGTTAATCTGATCTTGTCTTCTTCTTTTTTAACAAAAGTTGTGAGTAGTACGATTAGTACTCACGATCATTTTTATTCGCAAGCTTTTATTACTTTTATATCTTTACAGTAAGTCAGTAAAGACATTTATATAATGAAGCAGCGTTGGTTCAAATATATCTTGTGTCTGGCGAAAAAAAAAGGCCTTCAATAATAGTGAAGATTCTAAAATACATATACCGTGAAAGTAATATGAAGACTAATTTCTTTCGATTACTAATATTTAAAATCAAACTTTGTTGATAAGCATTTGAAATTGGAATATATGCATTCTGGCATTTTAATATGAATGAGATAATGCTCATATCTTACATTATACCGCAAAAACAAGATAACACAACCAGTTCATTATAAAGCATCTAACATAATCTTTTGACATATTAATTAAGCATTCAAACAAAAACGTTAATATGTTAGAATTTACTAATTTAACAACTCATTACAATCAAAATAATACCACATTTATCATCTCCCCTTTTAATGCCTTTCAACTTATGAATTAACCTTGGTAACATCAAAAAAGTGGTAGGATTTAACCATTTCCTCCGAGAGAAGCTTATTGTCTACATTTATTTTGCTTCAAAACCTCTTGAACTATAACACTATTTGTCACACTATTTGGCAAATGGTCATTCTCTTTTATCTTCATAAGCACTTGTTTCCTTCAACAAATAACTCATTTTGACAACGCACATGTATCATCATCCTATAATGCCTAATATATGGTTTCGATCCTTTCAAAGAGATTTCATCGCCAAATCCATCTTCCCACATTTACAATAACCATCAACCAAAATAGTATACAATCCAACATATTTCAATCAATTCACACCTTCATCATCATATAACTTCTAAATGGCTTCAAATAAGTCCTAAATGGCTTCAAACAATTAGAATTTGGATTTGATCAAAAATTCAGAACCTAAAATGAA